AAAACCCTCCATGACATTGAAGCTAACAGTATCTTCAAACATGTCATGCCACTGGCCAAGCAAGTGAAAACAGAGATAGATAAATTGGACTATCTTAAACTAAGAAGCTTCTGCACCTCAAAAGAAACAGTGACCAAACTACAAAGACAATATACAGAATGGAAAATATATTCGCCCAGTACCCATCTGACAAGGGGTTGATATCAAGAATATACAAAGTACTGGTTGAACTCCAGAAGAAGAAAACATCTATCCATCAAAAAAAACGGAGCGACAAAATGAACAGAAACATTCTCAAAGAAGGAATTTGAATGGCAAAAAGGCATATGAGAAAATGCTCTACATCTTTAATCATCAGGGAGATATAGATAAAAACAACAATGAGATATCATCTCATACTACAGAGACTGGCCCACATCCAAAAGAACAAAAACAACCGGTGTTGGCACGGATGTGGGGAGAAAGGGACCACTGCTGGTGGGAATGCCGGCTGGTTCAGTCCTTTTGGAAAACAGTATGGACTATTCTCAAAAATTTAGAAATTGAGCTCCTATTTGAACCAGCAGAACCACTCCTGGGAATATATCCCAGAGAGGCAAAAACATAAAGTCTAAGTGATATCTGCACTTTTATGTTTATTGCAGCACTGTTTACAACAGCCAGAATCTGGAAAAACCTGAGTGCCCGAGAACAGATGACTGGTTAAAGAAACTTTGGTACATCTACACAATGGAGTACTATGTAGCTGTTAGAAAAGATGAAATCATGAAATTTACATATAAGTGGTACTACTTGAAAGTACCACGCTCAGTGAAATGAGTCAGAAAGAGAGGGACAGACATAGAAAGATTGCATTCACCTGGGGAATATAAAGTAACAAAACAGGAGACTGACACCCAAGAATATCCTAGATAAGTGCCAGGAAGTTTACTCCATGACTTGGAGGCCAGCCTCACATGCTAGGGGAAAGGGCAGCTCATATAGAAAAGGGAGCACCAAATAAAGGGTACTGCGTGCGAGGTGTCAGACTGAACATGATTGCCACTCAATGCCTCTTTTGCAAACCACAGCACACAAAAGGTGAGAGAGAACAAAAGGGAATGCCCTGCCACAGAGGCCTGTTTGGATGGGGGTGGGATGGGGGGCAGGGATAATGGGATCATTGGTGGTGGAGAATGTTCTTTGTTGGAGGGATGGGTACTCGATCATTGGATAAGATCATTGTATAACTGAAACCCAAGCACAAAAATATGTAAGTCTACAACTGTACCTCATGGTGTTTCACTAATAAAAATTAAAAAAAAACAGAACGATAAAAACAAAATAAAATGTGGTCATGAATTACTTACCAAAATATAAGTTGCCTGAAAACAAAACTTCTAAAAGATTCATTTTACACTAAATCTAATTTAAATGACCAGATCGAAGCCTATAAAAATGATTCAGAAAACAGAAATTTGGATCCATTAAGAGAAACTGAAATTTACAAAAACTGCAAATATTCTGCATGTAACCATTTTAATAGAATTTTCACATCAGTCTTATCTGGATGATGTAGTTTTGAAATGAAATTAAGACTGCTGGTCCTAGAAACATGGTGTGTAAGTAAACCCAATTTTTGCAGTGTAATGAGAGGAATTGACTTTTAGCTCTTTGAGAAAGTTGGAAAGCGATTTGCAGTCTATATTAATTTAGTATTATATATTTACATTTAGGCTTGTCAAATTATGAAATTTAAATTCAAGTGGCAATAACTTAGAAAACACTCCTTTTTCATCACTTAAGGGTTTAACAAATATTTATTTCATTTTCACCTATTTGAATCAAATTGAAATTACATAGCAGTAGAAATTACTTAGTGGATAGTGGAGAGCCATGTGACAATTAAAGAGTCATCATTAATGGTATTTTCAATTTGCTACCAGATGATAATGAGTCTCTGGCTTTTAATCAGTAAAAAGAAAATATATGGCACATGCAGTGATGGAACCAGGCAAGCAAATAAAAGGAAGTAATACAAACAAGAATACCCAGTCTAGTAGTATAGTTTATAACTGAGGCCTCTGTACACTAACAGACACATCCAATTCATAATGAAAGCCAAAATATACTATCTGCTTAAGAAAAATAAGATAAAATAAGCACATATGCTTAAATAATGATCAAAAGCATTTGTGGAAAATGTAATTTTTATATCTGATTCAAATGCAACAGTTGTTGGCCTTAAAAATGAGCACTGCTTTTGAAAAACTAATTCAATGTAGTACTTTGTCATAAGATAAAGATCAACTCCTTACTGTTATCATAACTGTGACAGTTTCTCGTAGGAGCTCAAATACCAATGCAATGTTAAATAATTTAAAGTAAATCTGGCAGGCTAAGAATGTAATATTTCATTTTTAAGAACAACAACTGCTATATTTGTTTCTTGCTTAACATCAGCACTTGAAATTATTTATTTTACAAATTTTACAAATGTTCATAATCACTATGAAGATTTACAAAACCCTATACCCTATACGAAATATTAAATACATGATAAGCTTAAGTATTTAGCTAATTTTGGAAAGAAAAAAATTGTTAGATATGTAGATATATATGGAATTTCCACTTACAACACAGGCAATGACTTTCCATTCACCCCTTTTTCTATAGCTCTTATTCGTCATTAATTCTACTTTTAATCCTTGTTTCTCCACATTAATAGTCTGCATTGAAATATTAATAAATACTAAAATTAAAAGGTAATATAGAATGGTAGCCATGGAAGAGATTTTACTAAGCATAAAGTAAAACTGCTTCAAAGGTATCCTCCTTGTTAACAATTCTGCATCTTTAGATCATAGGCTGACGTAGAGCCTAAAGAGAAAATATACAATGCATTACCTCAAAGCTTATTCTAGTCATAATCTTTTACACAGAATAATATAGAAGTGGTGTTAAAAGGCAGGAGACTGATCCTAGAAAGATGGCACTTTGCTGTTAGACAAACAGATGGTATGATTTCTAGCTGTGTGTTCCAAGAGGACATAATTTCTCTCTTTCACCAAATGTCTGAAAAAGTGGGGAGGTTGGGAAGAAGTCTGAGTCCACTAAAATCTTACAGATGTCTAAAGTATGTAACCATCCTGAGTTCAAGAAAGGGGATAAAACTGATGCAAGCTTAAGTATGTCTCAAAGGAGATGCTGAATTTGAACTTTGAGGCAGTGTAAAGGCTGGAAAAGGTGTGTGTGTGTGTGTGTGTGTGTGTGTGTGTGTGTGTGTGTGTGTGTGTGATGTTTCAGGTTTTCAAGAAACACTAAAAAAAAAAAACCCTAGATTGTTTTTTCATGATTATTTTGAGTTTTCAATGCATATTTACCTTAAAATATGTCATAGTGATCAAGTGTATATGTGTGAGTATTCACATATACCGCATGTATGGTATGTATGTATGTATGTATGTACGTATGTATGTATGGCGAGTGGGGGAAGAACAAAGGTGGAGGAAGAAAAAATGGTAATATAGATATATGTGTGTACACACACATACATAGAACATAGTACTCTCCCTAAATTGTTGGCTTTGGTCTTTAAATTTTTCAGTATCCTTTCAAATCAGCACTTCGGTTTGGGGCCAGGGAGTCCCAAAGAGTGCTCAGGAGACTCAGGGTTGATCTATTTTTCAACAAGCAATTTTAGCATCATATGGGTACTATTTCTTTTCTATTTTATACTCGTCATATTTTAGAAAACTTTTCATAGGTTCTTTTAATGCTTAAGATTTTTGACAGAAAAGTTAACTTTCTCAGACTTCAATTATCAGATATTTTATTTCACAAATGAGAATACTGTCATGGTTATAATGACTACTATTTTTTATTGTACATTATGTATATTATTAATGCATATCATGGTTAAAAAATGTAACTTCTTATACCATATTTGTCTTACCTTTTTGCAAATTTGAACACTGAATAGACTAGCGCTTCTCCCTGTAGTGTTACTATAGGAATATTTTCATGAATCATACTTTCTTGATTTAGCTGTTTATTTGGAGTATTTTACATAAACTTTATGAACAACATTGTGTTCAGTAGTTACAATTCAAGATTTATGTAAAATGGTTACATTTCATTCCATTTCTGCTGATTTTAGATAATAAGAGTGAGCACAATGGCCCCCAGTGGATTCTTAGGCAAATACCCAGAGGACTCTCTCAAAACATTAATTTTCAGTGTTTGTATCTTTTAGACACTTTGGAGCTATGGGGTTGACCCAACAAACTTTTGAAGTGTTTTGAAAGATTTATAAACTTATGAATTGCAATAAATTATTCACACTTAACTTCTTAAATTATATAGCCGATAAGTTAGCTTTAAACACAGAATAATTTAAAGTTGATATTTAAATAAATATCCAAAATTTATTTTATGTATTACTTCTTTTTATTCTTTTAAAATTATAACTTCTTTAAATTTCATATTTTGGAAAGTTAATCATATAATGGGATAGGAAGAAAGACTTCAAGAAACACCTATTCTCAAAAAGAATTTTTGATAGTTTTACAAGAGAAAATACAAAATTCATCTGAACACTTGCTAGTTAATCACATCTGTGAAATGCTTTTTCTACTTGTTAAAATAAAGAAAAATGTGAAAAGGAGGCATTTTTTAAAAATTTATTAACAAACAACACATTACTTTTGAAATAATTTTCTATTGTAGGAAGTGTATTTAGAAAGCATTAAATTTGTTCTAAATATTGTTTTAAGCTACAGTATTTTCATTTTGTACCTATGAGATAATTATTCATAAAAAGGTTTCCAAGCTAACAATGACCGGGAACTAAAGAAATTTCACTTCAGTGATTTTTTTTTTTTAGAAAGTGGACTAGATGAATTTATGGAGAAACTTTCATATCTTTACTAAACAACTGTATTTTTACCAAAAAAAAAAATATATATATGAATTATATATTTTGTACCACAAGAGGGCAGCAGAAGACTTTTCAATAAAGTTCTAAGGCTAACCATCTGTTTTGTTTTGCCATTCATATATGTTTCTGAGAAGTTACTTTAATTTATTGATACCACACTGGAGAAAAATTTGAAGGGTGTGTGTTTTCATTATGAACCATAATTACATATTGTGAATGTAATTTAATAAATGTTTTATGAAAGGCATAAGCCTCAATTTGACCACACTTCTTTCATGGTTTGTAGAAACTAAAAAACACCTGCTTCATAAAATTCAGAGGCTTAGACAACACCAATCAGTATCTGTAAAAGTACATAGAGATAATATGGGAGTGACAAAATATCTGATATTCCACATAAATTATATTATGGTTGAAAGGCAAAACTCTGAGAAATAAAAACATTTAATTTTTTTTTCCTATAATGATTAAGTCTTTACATTTTCTACAGCATTGAAATCATATTTTCATCCAAGGGTAAAATAATAATTGCCATGGAAAATAAACCAAGTACTAAAAACGACATCAATGTACATTTTTCCGTGAATCTAATGGGAAATCATTGAGCAGAATACTTGTTTAAAAAATTAATTTTATATGAGTTAGCCAGTCAAATGAGTATATAGAATAATTTATCATAACACATTTATAGTCATTTCTGTATTACAGAAATATATTTTAAGTAATGCAGATAAGTTTGATGATTTTTTGTTTCCAAATACAAATCCTTCAGAAGCCAATAGACGTTTCCACCCATCAGGCCCTCAGCGTGTGTCTGGGCAGGCGATAGTGCTCTGCCTTGGCTCGGAGCTTCTTTTCTTTGGGGTTGGCGTACTTCCACTTAGAAGGTGACATTTTAAGCTTTTTCCTCTTTTTATCTGTGCACCATACTTTTTCACAGTATTCTTCTACTCTTTGGAAGTTGCTATAACCAATAAGCTGCAGAAATTCCTTATACCATGGTTTTGCTCCCGGTGGGATGCTGCTCTGGGCAGGACAAGGCATCTTGTGAGGTCCATCCTCTTCGTAGTCTTTGTTAAACATTTCCTCCACTCGCTCCTCTTCCACGACCTCCAGGGTGATTTTACGGATGGTGTGGACAAAACTATGCTCTACTGTTTGGCAGAAGTAGATCCCAGCGTCCATTTTCCGTACCCTTAGGAAGAGCAAACCAAGGTCCATCTTAACCACTCTGTCATCTGTCTTCACCTGCAAGAACAAGAGAATTAAAATGGAACGGAAGTACTAATCAGAAGAAAGAACACCAGCATATGACTCTTCCTTGAGTTTGTTTTTATTTTCAATATGATGGGGTGAAATCCTGAATGTCATAGGTGAATAGAGATATAGAAAAAGATACCAAGGCATTCAAACAGGTGTGTTTGCTGCAAGTTAGTTACTTTTGAGATGGCTTCATATCAGTGATTTGAGATAATTTCATATTAATGTTAAGAAGAGCAAAGTGAACTAATCAACCCTATCATAATTTCAATTAGTCTTTAGGAAAATACATCACTTCAGTTAGCATTTAAAGTAAAAGTGAAATGCAGATTGTTAAGTTGATTTATTTTAAAATTTGTTTTAAGGACAATATTCAGCAGCATTCAAGGCACTGGTATTATAAGCTGGAGATCTGATAAACGAATGCTGCGCCCATCAACTCAAAGTTCTCAAACTTGACACAGAGGAGTACTAGAACCATATTTACTACATTAAAACTGCTATCTATTGATAGCTTTTGCTAAGGATGAATCTGTAACCCCTACACAGCCAATAAAGAACACAGCCATTTTACAGAATGGTATGACATTTGTCTCATTTTCATCAGGCCTCTTGGCATCACAATGGCTTAGAGATTGCTTAGGCAATCTCTAAGTCATTGTTTTCTCCATAAATTTACCTTTTTTTTTAAAAAAAAACCAGCTATGATCATATCATGCATCTAATAATTATGGGCTCTGAAATTTAGTTTCAATTGTTTTTAAATTTGTAGTTGCGGTTGACATAGATGGATTCTATCTTCTTACAAGGTTTTTTGTTGTTGTTTTCTAATATGTGAATCATGAGATTAATATTATATTTTCATGGCTTCTTGTTCCATTCTGGACTTCTTCTGAACATTTTTCATTGCCTATAATGCACAAATCCTTCATCCTCCTGTTGTCTCATTTTTTATTTTTATCCATTTGACAGCTTCTATATTTCTGTTTTAATCAGTTTCCCTCAGATGATATATTTTACACATAGATAATTCATTAGTTTGTGTTTCTACTGAGTTACAAAACACTGAAATTTATCACTTAGAATTCAATGTCTTTCTTTATAAACTGTACCCATCCCTTTTACTAATTTGCCTACTTCAGAAAAATTACAACATAATTCATCTGGTCTTTCTGTGGTCAACTGCTAATCCTTTATGTCTTCAGTGTTGACCATCAGAAACACTATTCCCTTCATTTTCTTTTTCTTTTTTTTAAATTTTGGCCACATCTGATGGTGCTCAGGGCTTACTCCTGGCTCTGTGGCCACTCCTGGTCATGGTTGAGGCACCATATGAGATGCCAAGGATCGAATCTGGGTTGGCCACTTGCAATGCAAGTGTCCTTACTTCTGTACTATCTGGTCCCTATTTCATGATTTCTGATACAATATTAGGCTTTCATATATGAATATTGATAATTCTCAAGCATACCAAATGAAACCTCCCCCCTCAATATTATTTCTTGTGCCTGTTTTTTTTGTCAAGTTTGATGCAACTTTAGGAGCGATGCTTTTACATCTGGCTAGAGACTACATACCACATAGATACCCCAATAAGTATCCTCCCCCATTCACCATTCTATCTGTTAATCTTAACTCATGGATATTAGCAGATATTTCCTGAAAATATATTACTGTTCTTCAATTAATTTCCTTCTTCTGTTCCAATTATTTAAACAAGATTTAAAAGTGAAATTTCACTTCACTTTTCACTATTTTTTTTTCTTTTTTGGGTCACACCTGGCGATGCAGAGGGGTTACTCCTGGATCATACACTCAGGAATTACTCCTGGCAGTGCTCAGGGGACAATATGGAATGCTGGGAATTTAACCCGGGTCAGCCACGTGCAAGGCAAAGCCCTATTCACTGTGCTATTGCTCCAGACCCCACTTTTCACTCTTATCTGAGAAATTATTCAGATCTATTGCTTGCCCAAGCAGATAAGACATAATTAATAACCTCTTACCTCTATAAGTTTGATTTCTTCAAAACTTAATAAAGTACTTCCCAGACTGGGATTGGTGAACTAGGTTATTTTTGGAGAACATAATTTTCTAGAAGGATTTCTTATTTCATTGAACTAATTTTAATGCAAATCAATAAAAATTAATAAATGGTATTTGGATCATCTTGAAAGATCAACTACATGGTTAGGATCTGTTTATCCCAAATTCAGAGCTTTAATATTTTATGACTGCTGAGAAGAATATGGATTTAATATGTTAATGATATATTTCAGCCAAGTGAATATCAACCAATCCCACTATAGCAATGTACAAAGTCTTGAAGTCATTTGAAAAGAGTTTTGGAAGATTTAGTGGCATACAATGCTATAGAGGTTTTGCACATACACATATAGACTATGCATATACTATATACTTGTGTGTATTTATGCATACACACATATTTACGCATACACATATAGACTATGTAGTAGTCTATATCCCTGCTACAGTGTGGAGGTATTGATTTCAGAAAATAAATAATCATCATATTATATATTTAAACAATGCATTAGATTATTCTTTATTTGTTAATCTGTCTTGCCCCGATATTTGAGTAAAGCTATAAGCATAGAGGGCATATTTCTAATTTAATTCTTACAAATATTTTATGAATAGTTTAATGACAGTTATGTAAGTAGACATATAAAATTCTTTATTTTAAGGGCAGGTAGCAGGGGCAGCCTGCATAATCTCATGTCCTTTCCATGATTCCTTGTGTTCTGTCCTCTGTACTGCCATCTTATTTCATATGTCTGGATCTCATTTTGATGTTATCCTTTCTTCCTTTTTCTTAGTGAGCTCTGTTTTCCTGTCCATCAATACATTTTTAGATACTTATTTCCAGATTTAATTTTTTAGTTATTTCATTAGTGTATCAAGAAAGGTCTTCTGTTTTCTTTTGTAACTCAGTAGCACTTACATTCACAGCATGCAAGCTGCTATTTATGGTCCTCTTCAAATTATTTTCCCATACAAGTTTCATGTACTGTAAGTTTTTATTGAGGATAATGCTCTATTTCTTAATTATTCAAACATTCCAAATGAGTAATATGTTCAGTAGTTAGTGAAAAATAAGAGCATATAATTTGCTCATAGTGTACAGAATGCATGGCACTGGGATAGACTGAAGAGTGTATGTCCAATAATAATTTTTTTTCTTTTTTTTGGGGGGGGTCACACCTGGCAATGCAAGGGGTTACTCCTGGCTCTTCACTCAGGAGTTACTCCTGGTGGTGCTCAGGGAACCATATGGGATGCTGGGAATTGAACCCGGGTCGGTCGCGTGCAAGGCAAATGCCCTACCCGCTGTGCTATCTCTTCAGCCCCAGTCCAATAATAATTTTAGTAGGAAGAAAGCAAGCATGATTTTAGCAGTACTTAGTCGTTCATCAAAGAGGGCATTACTTTATAAATCAATTCGGTATCTTTGCCTTCAGCAGGAAAGGATATGTACATAAACCTTCTCAGAATATCATTCTTTGCTCTCCTCTACTATATCTCCTGTGAGAGTGTATAACAGATGAGAAAATATGAAAATCATTTAGCCTGCTTTCTAACATATAAAAAATGGTATCTTAAAATAAAAAAAAAGGAAAATCAAGAAATAAACACAAAACCTTGACCACAGACTTGGAAGTCTTTTAAAAACAATTTCAAGACTGGCTGTAAGAAATAGATATTTCTTTTTTAATTAGAAATCCAAGTTTGAGAAACAATGCTTTGTGTATGTGTACACAAAGCAAAGGGCATTGTCTGACATAGTTCATATGCACGCTAGAGATAGTACTTGTCTCAGAATTTTGTTTTCCCCCTCCTGGTTACAGTCGATCATTAATCCAGGAATAAAATATCTTTAAACATAAATCTGGATGCCTCTAAACAATGCAGATCAAACCATCCCTGCAAATTAAACTTTCTATTTTAGTTAACAAGAGTACCTTTACAGAATTGTTTTCAACCAGCTGTAAACACAGCTGGTTTCCAGGTCTGTAGGCCAGATTTCCTTGGTCAGGAAGATGGTACATAATACATCATTTTTTATCAAATATTATATAGGCAAACTACAAAAATCCAGAATCTCTTACTGAAAATGGTTTTTATAGCTTAGAAATAAAGATTGATTCAGTATGTTTTGTAATGTCAAATAAAAAATAATTGAACAAAGGACCCCTTACATCTGGTAGCTAGCTGGTTAGAAAGAAGCAGTGATTTTCACGTGTATGAACCAGATGGTTCTACACACTTCAGAGGAAGACATAAGCCTTAAATTGGTTTAATTCAGAATATAAGAATGAAATCAGTTTAATCAAGAAATAAAGACCAGCAGCTTTAATATTTACTTGTTTATCTGACCTACCTTGGTCGAAAAGAAATATTGGTTGTCATACAGACAATATAATAAATACGTAAGCATAACATTTTCTCTTATTAAAAACATTTTTCACTGTAAAACTGATATACAAGAGTGATAACTGACTTGTATAGATATAGTGAAATGTTTAAATCAAGAAACCCACCACATTATAAAGTTGCATTTACTAAGAAAAAATATGGTTGCATTTATGTTGAAATCTTATTTCTAGTACAATATGTCAGAAGGACAACACAATGAATAATAACTCAAAATCATGTTGCAAAATCACGAATAATCAAAACTCCTTTTTGAAAAAATATGAGGCATTTATATTCAATCACCAATTAATAACATAAAAAATGCAATGAACTCTTGAAAGCTAACAAAAAAGAGAAATAGAAGTGAAAAATGGGAAGATGCTATAGATACTATTCTGAGGAGAAACGAAAACATTTGGTAGGTTAATACCGAATCTTGCTAGTAACCTTTAAAATGTATTCAAGAGGGGGCAGAGAAATAGTAGAGGGGTAGGGTGCTGGCTATGCACACAGCCAGTAAGGTTTGATTGCCAACACCCCATATGGTCCCC